GCAGCGATTCCCAACCTGTGGTACGCGTACCCCTAGGGGTACGCGATAGGTTGTTTAGGGGTACAGAAAAAAGTTAGTTATTATGGCAGAAAAAACAATATATTATGTATCACAAACTAATAGTATTAAAAAATTATTAGATAAATAATGTTCCTTGCAACAATCACAACTTTATTATACATTTTTTCTTTTAGTTTTTTTTTTCTTTAATTTAAAGTTACAATATGTAAATTTAACAATACGGTTACTCACTAAATTTCTTAAATGAGGGGTACAATCTAGAGATATGACATGTCACGGGGTACAATCTAGAGATATGGCATGTCACCGGGTACACTAATGAAAAAAGGTTGGGAACCACTGCTCTACTGTATCTATGACCCTTTATGAGATATTCAGTTCCTGACTGGACTGTTTGTCAAACATATTGTATTTTACAAGCTGATAAAAAGATCTTCAAAATTCTAGATAGGTTGATTTTGGGAGGTTGTATCTCTCCCAAAGGGTCATATGTAGACCATCTGACTTTCATGAGCATGGTCTACAGCTCTAAGGATAAATGCAGCTCTCCATATTCAGAACTGCATCTTTTTGAAAGAGAAAACTTTGCTACATTTTTTAAACCTATTACAATAAAACTGATTTAAGACTGGATTTAACAGAAAATTTCTGGTCTGTATGTCGTAAAAATTAGCACCTTGTTAATTTTAAAATGCCTTTATATGTAATTAAATTAATAGGTTATTTTTTCAAATTCAAGTCACTGCTCTTAACTTCATGCCACAACTGGAGTGTATCTGTCTCAATATATTATTTGAAGACATAAATAGGAAATATTTTTTTATCAAATTAAATTTTGTTTTCTTTTTAAGAACAATATTTGTTTAGTTATATACAATTAAAGTGAATTTTCCAAAAAATGTTTATTTCATTTATATTGTATACTTATTTATTAGTCTCAGAACTCCAGTTAGTACATGAGAAATCTATATATATAAGGATGTTTGCTTGTTTTCACTATACACTCTTATCCCATTCGATCAATTGCTACAAAACTCAGCAGTTATGTTACATACTTTTAACTTAGATAATGTCATGCATCGCATCCAAAATATCTACTGGATTTTTGTAAGTCAATTTCTATCTACATTAGATTTGCTGATTTACACATAGTGCCAACTATCGGCAAAAATTTACCAAAATAATTAACTAAATATAATTCTTATAAAAAATGGATACAATTTTTAAAAACATATATTATAGTCACTTAATTATTGTAACAAGGATATAATGCAAAATAGATATCTATATATCATTAGAGAGATAGCAGGATAGCATGGAATCAAAGTTACTCTGTGAAGTTTAAGTACTTCATTTTCCACATCTAATAACTTTGGTTTATTCATTTTTGAACAGTACTTTCTTAATTCTAATAAGTGCCGTCCAATAGCCAAGTGCATAAACCACCAAACTCTGGTAGTTAGCCCATTGGCCATGCCCAACCCATGACTAAGTGGTGTTTTCCAGGTTTGCTTTACGTTAGTAAAATCTAAATAGGGTCCAGTTTCCCATAAAAATCTTCCTGATATACATCCCCTTTGGCAGATCACTCAACTGCTCATGTCACATTGCCATAATCAACTAAACCAACTTAATTTCACCTAATAATAAATCAGTAGTATTTTTATTTTCTCCTAATTTTTGATCACCACAAAGCTTGACTTTGTCTTAGAAAAGTACAAAATGCTATTTTACTTAAAACTTATGTAAATTTCTGTGAAAAGAAATATAATATGCTCTAACTTGTTTTGGCACTGCACTATGTTAATGTAAATATGATATAGTAATTGTTAAACTCTGTAGTATCAGAAAAAATTTTTATTTTTAATGATGATATGTTTTTTAAAAATAGAGTTTAGGTACTTTATAGTACAAATTTTGTCCCTCTACTGTATAAGAACATGCTCATATATGAATGAAAATACAGTATTGAGATAAAATAGCTGGATATCTAAAGATCAAATTTATTGTTGCAAATGTCTTTATACAAAACATTGGCTTTTACCTTAAACTTAGATATTTTACTTTAAGTATATTTCTGTATATTAAACTGTTACCTAATACATTAATGCTATGCACAAGTATAGATTTTCTAATTTTTACTTCTTTGAATATATTCTTGTTATTCATCTGCAGTTAGATTCCTTGTTCTTGAAGGATTTTTTTTCATCTTTCTTACAAGTTTTAAAACTTTTGTAAGAAATGATCAGGAGACAAATGCTTTGTATGTATAATTTGTACAGTTATTATTTATTACAATAATAATAATAATACTTTTTATTTAATTATTATTTATACATTTGTATAAAATTCCTAGTACTGTATAAACTAAAATTTTTGAAACATTTTAATTAGTAGTACAGTAAGACCCTGCTTAACATGGGGGATGCATTCCTAGATGACAAAGCACTAAGCAAAACAGCATTAAACGAGGCCATTTTAATATAGAGTAAATAGGGATAGGGGAACATGCAACTGAAAATTAAAAAAAAAATTTACTTTAAATTATTTTTATATTAATTTGTATAATATATGTTAAATAACACACAAACATATGCACACAGAAATGTATAATAATATATTAATTAGTTCATTTTTTGTAACAAAGATACTGGCTTTTCTGAAAATCTTTTTTATTTTTTTGCAATAAAGTCATGAAGTTTCATTTGTCGCTTTTTTTTCTCTTTAAGCAAATGTCGGTAGCAGAAGATCGCATCCAAAATGCCTCATTTTGCTTTTGCACTCCTTTCAAAATCTATATCATTCGCTACAATTTGATCAATGATTTTGGTTATCGTTACCAAACTTTTACTAAAGAAATCTGTAGCAAGTTCTTTGATTTCTTTGTTTTCAGAATCTCTATTTTCAAGTTCTGTGTGAATTCCTTGTTCTGCCAGTTCTTGAAGTCATTGTTGGTAAGGCTCTTAGCAGAAACCTGCAGTAACTCTACAATATCCTGCTCATCTACATCTCCTGTATTAAGTAGACAATTTTGTCAATCTAACGATACAGTGATAGGCTCTTCTCAATGAGAATTCTTGGATACCTTCAGCTATAACTTCTTCCACACTCCGTTTATGCATTTATCAGTTAATTCTTGCCAGCCAAGTCACTATTTCCTATGGCATCCATGATGTTATATTTTTTCTAAAATTGCACAAAACAAACATAAATTTAAGGAAAGTACAGCACTACAACAAATTGCCATCTTTTGCTGATTGGTTCGTGTTTGGGAATAATCATATTATATATGAATCAATGAAATACTGTGTTAATTTGAATCAGCGTAAATTTTGAGCGTTTTTAGGCATCAAGTAGCCCGTGTTATATTGGATCGACTTTAAGTGGGGTCTTACTGTAATTATGATTTAGACAAGAAAATAAACTGCAATTTTTATATCAGATGTAATCTTATAATTTAAATAAATCAAGCACAAGAAAACCAGGATTTATAAATTCTGAATATTTATTTTCCACATCTGCACTATCCTCCTTTACATATACTAGTATGAACATGAATCATATGTAATAAAAATATTACTAAATGTCTATTACAAATCGAAAAGAAAAGTGATAAATGAACAAAATTTTGTATTTCAAAATCAAAATACAAATTTTTTTTTATGACAAAAGAAAATAATTCTAATCTTCCATTTTCATGATGAGTCTTCTCACACTATCCTTCAACTCTTTAATTTGTCCATTTACCTAGAATGTCACTGTCTCTGAAGATGTAATATTCCTGAAACGATAAATATTTTAATTTCAAATGTTAACTTTTTTTTTAGTTTTGTTTTGTGAAATATTTACCTTATCATCTATTTCAATTTTGGTGCCTCCATATTCAGGTAAAAGAACCCTATCACCTTCTTTGACACTGGGTGGAACTAAATCTCCTCTCTAAATATGAAATAAGAAGTTATTTACTCAAATCTATTTCTTAGAATGTTGAAAACAAACTATATACAAACCTCTGTTCTGGCTCCTGGTCCAACAGCTACTACAGTCGCACTTTGTACCTTAGCCTGTGCTTTCTCCGGAATCATAATCCCTCCTTTGGTCCTAGATTCCGGTATAAATCTTTCGACTAGGATGCGATCCAAAAGAGGGATAAGTCGTCTTCCTAACCCGGCCTTCGAAATGATAATACTTTTTAAACTTTCAAATCATTATTCTTGTTTTACATTCTAGAATAGTCAACTATATAAGTACAGTAATGCAAATTATCAATTGCATTATCTTTAAATTATTTTATAATCAAAACTTATATTTGATGGACAAACTTTACCACGTTCTAACCTAACCTATTCTAATAAATTACCAATAATATAGGTTAGGTTAGGTTAGGTTCCAACATGGGTCTCCACTGTGCTGCCATGATGGTGCACATAGGTAAAGTTTAACCTTGATCTAGGATATGGATTTTCTATCACACAGTTTTATCTTGAATAAATTTTGATTTTTCTAGAGTAATTATAACATCCCAAAATTTACTCATCTTTTATATTTATATACATAAACGCTTGTTTAAACGCCTATTTATTTAATTATAAATTAGGTAAGATATATATTCAAGCAATAATAATGATAATAATAATAATGAATAGGTAGAAGTTAGAAATTACTTTTAGGTAATTGTGTATATATGCATATAATTACAAATTAACTAAAAGTAACTTCTACCAAAGATTGATGAGCCAAAAACAATCTTACCATCCAAGTCTCCATAGTTTTCTATGATAATACTTCCAAGAGGATATAAAGCGATCGAAAGTAGAGAAAGGACTAACTTCATACTCACCATGATTGTTTATAAATAAGTTTCTTGGACCAAAAACTTGTTTGAGTAAAAATTATTCTTTGGATGGGCTGCAAACTGCACGACTTCGATTCGCCTTTCACGTGTTCCTAACCGCCAATGACGTAATACTAATGGCCGACCGTTCGAATGAAAACGTGACGTAACATTATATAAAATTAATAATTTTGTCCGTTATGAATACTAATTAATATAAATATCTTCGAAACAAAGAAATCTTCATGAATATCAGTAAGCGATCACGTCCCATTCGATAGATATAGCATTATTTTAAAAATTATTTAAAGACGAAAAAGAGGCGAACCATATGACGTATTTCCTCTTTCTAGAACGTTCCTCCCGAATGTTAACGAGCATGCGCATTTTCATTAAACTACGATCCTAATTTTGAATTAAATTCAGAATAAAATTAAGTTTAAACAAGATAAAAATTCAAAAAATTAATTTTTAATATTTATACAAATAACGAGATTAGTTAGGGTTATGTTAAAGAATTGCATCATACACGTGGAAAAGTCTAGAAAGAAAAGCGCCACGAAACCAGTATAATTAAACTTTAACCTTTTAATAAAAGAACCTTTAAATTATAATTATCGTCCAATCTAGATAAGATGATAGATTATGACATATTATAATTAACTGCTTTTCGAGGAACTCAAAAGTCAGCTGATTTCTTTTTTTTATAAATCTGTTTTAAGCATTTATTAGATCGTTATTCAGCATCCGGGTCCCTATTATCGCCTCCTAGTCCCCACGTGTTCCCCTCTCTACAACCGTTTGCTTCTATAGGAGTGTATCGCCCGCCAAGGCAAGTCTTTAATCGTAATTACCTTTTGTTAATATTAATTAAACTTAACATTTTAAGAGAAGAGATTTAGCGTAAGATTTCTTTTAAAAATTTATGGAATTTAATAATGGCGATATCTTCATCCGACTCATCATCGTTCTTGTTTTTTTTTTCTAGATTAAAATGTTGCACCTTCCATCGGTTTTTCGTACCAGCGCTCTACGTCGCTTGACTCCAGCCCTGAGAAGATATTATGCTAAAGATATAAAATTTGGTCCTGATGTTCGTGCTATAATGCTGCAAGGGGTTGATGTCTTAGCTGATGCTGTTGCTGTAACTATGGGGCCTAAGGTATACTTATTATTACAATTCAAAACATTTTTCTTTCATTTGAAGAAAATAATCTTCATTCATCTTTTCAAATGAATGAGAGTTCTGAGTATGATGAATGAGAAAAGGAAAGTTGCATCATAGTTTTGTGTTATTAAATAACACAAAAATATGATGCAAAAGCACAAAATTTGTGCTTTTGCAGAAATAAATATGAATATTTTATTTATTTAATAGAATATGCCTAGTGAAGTTAGGTATAATTGCTATGGTATCAACATATAATTTTTTATATAACATAACATCAATAAAATTATTTCAAAACTATTCTTAGTGCAAAATATGAAACTATTCGTGAGATTTTTCAAGTAGAAATGTTCTGTCAATGTAAAATGTAATTATTCTAAATTATAGCATAGAAGCTGATAATCTTTAAGAAATTTTTTAATTTTCTAATCAATCAGTTTTTGTTATATTTATTATAAAATGAGACAAAAGATGATACAAATATATTGATTTTTGACTTTTTTCATAAAATAATTTTGTTTTAAGACTATTTATTTTGAAAGTTAACAAATTGTGAACTCTTATTAAAAATTAGAAATTAAACCATAATATATTTAACTTTGGTTATATTGAAAATGTTTTTGATTTTCTCTTATAATTTTATTAACAACTGTTTTTGTCAGTTATTTTCAGATATATTATTTGTTTGATTAACTAATTTTTGTAAGATTAAAATGTAACATTAACTTTCTGTGTTTTGGGAATTGTTTTTTCATATCTTAATGATAATTCTATTTTTACTAACTTAACAATATGTAGTACACAGTACATAAACAAACCTCACAAAACCTGATAAATTTGTAAAGCCTAAAAACCACTGGATTATGTTGGGTTACTTTTCTGCAATTATATTTAATTAATTGCAAAAAAGTAGCCTGATGTACTATGGTACTTGTTTTTGCTAAAAAATAGCATTTTCTAAATATACAAAAATTTAGTTTCCGTATAGTTTTGACCATCGTAACATGCTGTTAAGCCCAGAACAAATTATTTGATATCAGCAAATTGGTCAGAGGTGAGATAAAACAAAATACATTAGATTGTCATAGGTTTAACTGTTAAATCAACGGTGCGGCCATTGACTCAGTGTTGCTCTGTCGGGTGGTGAACCTATGGCACGCGTGCCCAAAGTGACATGTAAGGAGAAATCATCCAGCATGTAATGTATCATACGATTTCTGTCTTTTTCAATCATTTTTTTGGTTTATCACTTGATCGTCCTTTTTTCAATCAGCTTTTTTACATTTATTCTAATTAAAGTGTATTCATTTAATTTCTTTAAATATCGTTATTCGAAGTCTGAAACTTTGGCATGCATAAACATCTTTAAAGCTAAGTATGCTTACAATATGGCACACGAACACAAAAAGGTTCACCATCCCTGCTCTATGTTACACCCTTCTATGGAAAATAGACAATCTCTTCAACAACTCTCAGATTCAAGTTGGATTTTTCAGGCAACAGTTGGGAGATGCTTGTGCACATTTGAAAGTTTACAAGAAAGAACCATGCACTGTAGCTCACAGACAAGATTTACATGTGTTTGTGCTATGATTTTAGTCTTGTTTCAGCAATAGCTTTGCTATGCTGAGTTTATGAAACAGAAAGCTGATAGATTTTCACAGATATAAAAATATAAATAATCTTATTGATTTATAATTTCAATAGAAAAAAAAAAGTTCATTTTCTATCAAATTCCCATTTTTACCAAATATTTAACAAATGGTAGCAGCTAAAATTAACACCAACAATCATTATCACCGATTGGCAGCATTTTAAACTATTGAGCAGTCATTTGTAATGAGATAGACAAGATTTCATTGGTTCTTTAGAACTATATCACAAATGATATCACAGCAAGGCCATGGCTAGTGCATTTAGTACCAGGGGCAAAGTTAAATATGGCACCTTTCGGATAAGTCTTTTTACAAATTTAAAAAACAATAAAAAAAACTTTTTATTAATATAATGTGTATTATATTTCATATATAATATGAGTATAAGTATGAGTGAAAAATTTTTTTTATGAATTTATTAGTTCACCCATATAAGTTTGGCAGTCCATTATCTCAGTGCCCTGGGTGTTTATCTCCTCTACCCCTGCCTTTTCAGTCCTTTATCACAAGGGGCAATCTATAAGTATTATTTAAATATATAAAATATCCAAGGAAAACCAATCATACTTTTGTTATTAGATGTAAAAACAAAATGTAATATGATAGTGTTTTACCAAAGTTATAAATATTAATCCATAATAAACTTTCGAATACACTTTAATTTTAATAAACTGGCATCATTGTTAACAAATAGTTGCTAATAAACATGAGTATTAATTAAATATTTCACAAAACTAAACAGTGCTAAATAATTACATTTTGATTAAATTAATTTTCTTATAAATTGTTGATAGTTACTTGTTTCAGTGACTTTAAATTTCATCATTTAGATTATTCTGCTAATAACCTGCAAAAAGATTTATCTTAAATGCATTATATAGTAATTTTATTAATATATTATTGTCTACAAAAATACTATGTGTTTGTGTATTTTATATATATTGCATATTAAATGTGATTTCATAAAACTGTTTAGGGAAGAAATGTTGTCATTGAACAATCTTGGGGATCTCCAAAAATCACAAAGGATGGAGTAACTGTAGCAAAAGCTATTGAATTAAAAGAAAAATTTCAAAATATTGGAGCTAAACTTGTACAGGATGTAGCTAATAATACAAATGAAGAAGCAGGTGATGGAACCACAGCAGCCACTGTGTTGGCCAGAGCCATAGCACGAGAAGGATTTGAAAAAATTAGCAAAGGTGCTAATCCAATTGAAATTCGTAAAGGTAAAAAACTTTTACTCCTGAAACAAAATTCTTTCTCTAATGCCTTTATTTTTTTAATATATCAGAGTTAAATATATAATTTCATTTGTTGATAGGGGTGATGATGGCTGTTGAAAAAATAGTTGAAGAACTCAAGGCACTATCAAAACCTGTAACAACTCCAGAGGAAATTGCTCAGGTAATATTAAGAAAAAGTTTCTTTAATAAAAAGAAAAAATTTATAATAAAAATTTAATATTAAATAAATTATATTTAATTACAGGTAGCAACTATATCTGCTAATGGAGATAAAAATGTTGGTGACCTAATTTCAAGTGCAATGAAGAAAGTTGGTAGTGAAGGTGTTATTACAGTAAAGGTCAGTCTTTCATACAATATTGCTTTTACTCCATCCAACAAACTCCAGACTAAAACAATAAGATTAATATGAATTTTATAATTCAGAACAGTTCAATTATGAATTGTTTTGAATTTCAATTAAAAAAAAAGCAATATAACATTGTTTGAAAAAGTCGGTTTAGTATTTTAAAAAAAAAAAAAAAAAAAACAGTTGTGACTCAAATCAAATTTTTCTCAAATGAAATAAATTTCTTCAGGATGGTAAAACTCTACATGATGAACTTGAAGTTATTGAAGGAATGAAATTTGACAGAGGATATATTTCGCCATATTTTATCAATACAGCCAAAGGTATGAGAATGTTAAATTTTAAGTTCTTTAGAGTTTTGTAATGATCTGATAAGACATATTAATTTTAAAAGGTGCAAAAGTTGAATTCCAAGATTCTTTATTACTTCTGAGTGAAAAGAAGATCTCTAATATTCAATCAATTATTCCTGCATTGGAATTAGCAAATAGAGTGAAGAAGCCTTTAATCCTTATTGCTGAGGATATAGATGGTGAAGCTTTAACTACACTTGTTTTGAACAGGTATAAATTTTCTCATCATTGAATGATAATTATGAAACAAAAAAAAAAACAAAAAATGTATTAAATTTCTAATTTTGAAAGGTTAAAAATTGGATTGCAAGTTGCTGCAGTTAAAGCTCCTGGATTTGGTGACAATCGTAAAAATACTTTGCAAGATATGGCCATTGCCACAGGTGGTATTGTATTTGGAGATGATGGTAACTTTATAAAATTAGAAGATGTTACTATGGACTATTTAGGGGAAGTTGGAGAAGTAATAATAACAAAGGATGATACACTTCTACTAAAAGTATGTTCAAAAAATTTTAAGTAATTTTCCTTTTTATAGACATTTTTATAATTAATTCCATTATTCTGTTTGTAGGGAAAAGGTGATCCAAAACAAATTCAGCAGAGAATAGAACAGATTAAGGATGAAAGAGAACTTTCAAATTCTGAATATGAGAAAGAAAAATTAAGTGAACGGTTGGCAAAATTGGCAAATGGTGTTGCTGTTCTTAAGGTAATTCAGAAATCTCAAAGAAAGTTAAAATAAAAAAATTGTTTTAAAATTAAAAAATAAAATTTCAATAATTTAGATTGGAGGAACAAGTGAAGTGGAAATGAATGAAAAGAAAGACAGAGTTAATGATGCTCTAAATGCTACAAGGGCTGCAGTTGAAGAAGGTATTGTTTCTGGTGGTGGTGTTGCTCTTTTGAGATGTTTACCTTCTCTAGAAAAATTAGTTCCAGAAAATGAAGATCAGAAAATAGGTACATAATATTTTATATTATCTAAAGATGAAATTACTTAAGATTCAATTCTGATTTCTTCACCTTTTTATATTCCAGGTATTGAAATAATAAAAAAAGCAGCTAAAATGCCCTGTATGCAAATAGCAAAAAATGCAGGTGTAGATGCTTCTGTAGTAGTTCAAAAAATAATGGATTCAAAACCAGAAATAGGTTATGATGCACTAACTTGTCAATATGTTAATATGATGGAAGCAGGAATTATTGATCCTACCAAAGTAAACTATTAAAAAATACATAATAACAAATGTTATATAAATTGTGATTACAATCTAAATTATTTGTTTTCAGGTTGTACGTACCGCCTTGATGGATGCAGCAGGAGTAGCCTCTCTACTAACAACAGCTGAAGCAGTAGTAGTAGAATTACCTAAAGAAGAAAAATCTCCAATGGGAATGGGAGGAATGGGCGGTATGGGTGGAATGGGAGGCATGGGCGGTATGGATATGTAAAATAGTGATATAGGAATTTAAATTTGTATAAGGACGTTTTGCGTGGAATTCCAATCATCTGCATCATCCATAATTCTACACACGTGTGAAGCTGTGTCTTAAATAAAACTAGAGTAGAGACTTTATACCTTTTTATTGTAAAAGCTCAGATTACAGATCTAAACTGAAGCTATATTTTTCATACAGATCTACATGCTAATTATGGCACAGAAATTATGGATTATTGGGATTCCTGAAGTAAAATATACATTCAAATATCATCAATTTGTATGATCATGTCATTTTTTTTTGTTTACATCAGTCATCTATCAGAATTTTTGGTACATTATAGTTTAGTAATAAAAGAAAGATATACAGTAAAGTTGTTATTTCTTATTTAAGTTACAAACTTTTTACATTTAATTTCTGTACAGTTGTAAAAAACAAGGGTCCACGTTCGGTAATATAAACAGGAAAATTTGCTTTCACCTGCTAAAAACGTGAGAATGTAGAACAAGCACCTGCCGCACGTTTGATATAATCGTGATTTCATGCATATCTTGTAAAGAGTGAAAATATTAATAAAGCATTCCGTGAATTATTAGCTGTTTCGTAACATGGTTCAAATTTGTTTACATCCTGTTTTTACGATTGTTCGTAACAATTCAAGAAAACTTTCCAATAATCTGTACTCGTAACCCACGTACCGTTACAACCATACGGTCCTGATTTGTGTATCCTGGCATAATCGTAACAGTCGACAAGTCCGTCATAATTGCAATCATGTCCCCATTTTTGCATGTAACCTCTGACTGCACCTTCAGCGCATGATCTATCGTTCAGACATTCTTCGAAATCTTAAAAAATGAAAAAAATATATATAAAACTTTGTGTTCATTATATACTTAAAATTGACTGAAATGTGCCTTACCGAAAGGATTATTAGGATCTGCTCCTGGACTTCCTCCATCAACCCAATATGTGTATGAGATATGAAAAGGTCCACAATAGTACTGGTTCGGTCCATTGCTGTGACATTGTGTATCTTTACATCCGGAACTTGCCTAAAAAATAATTTCTTTTTATTATAAGAAGGCGTCGGTGTGATAATTTGCATAACCGCGTTCTTCTTAATTGACATAATAGAGAGGTTGCGGCCGACGTTTTCAACGCAAAAACGTGTACGTCGGACGTTTAGTGCCGCTTTCCTAAAGACCTAGAAGTTTGGCAATGGTGTTTGGGACGTCGAGCATGATTCCACTGACTATCCAAACACCATTGTCAAACTTCTAGGCTTATAGGAAAGCGGCGCTGAACGTCCGACGTACACGTTTTCGTGTTGAAAACGTCGGCCGCAACCTCTCTAATATTGAAAATATAAGAGATTTGCAAGATTCTGCACGATAAGTGATCATTACACCACCAGAAATATTAGTTCAAATTCAATGAAACTGTAATAAAGTATTTTAATACGTGTAATTATCCTAAGAAGTTCCCGCGTCTATATTTATATTAGCCTATCCTGTTGGTTCGGGTTCGTAATTGTTTAAAATTTAAGTTAACCGTAAAGCGCGCTTGAATAAACTAAAAGAAATAAAAACCGCTGACTTTAAAATTAGGGCTTTTATTTATTTAACGGTTTTTATTAACAGTTCTCTTAAATAAGTAAAGCCGAAACAATACATCAAAATTCATCATCATACCTGACACATGCATTCCAAACACGACGGATGGATATAACCGCTAGGAAGGAATCCTTGACCTGAAATAAAGAAATCACGATTTTTAATTAATAAAAAAACATTCATAAAAAATTCGTTATCGACCGTAATTTAAAACGTACCAACAACCATAACGAATACAACTGCGAAAAATGCCGCGTAGAATCCAAAGAAATGCATTTTATTCGTAAAATTAACAGCGCGGTTTCAATGCTTCTTTTAAAACTTGAAGATTATGGCGACTACTAAGATATTGTAATTTCGTGTTATATATAATTTACTGTCACTTTTTATTATGTAAGATAACGTCATTCTGACGTTACGAAAAGGAAAAGACGTGTAGGTAACACCCTTGACACTTAAATTTTGATGGGAATTTCCCTTCGTAATTTGCTCACTGATGCTGAATAACTTGTTTCATAAATCAAGTATCCGCCTCGATTCTTTATAAATCGCGTAATCTTTCCGCGTTTTAAGATATTTAAATTGATAAACCACCCTTAATTTCAAACTTTCGACATGTTAAGACGGAAATTCCCAGTAAAGAGTAATTTATTTAGGAAGGGATTTTTTAGATGTCATGAAATTACATCCGGATTTTCAGCCTCCCACGACAATAAAAATTAAATTTGTATTGTCTAAGTTGTTTTCAAAAAAAAAAAAAAAACGCATTTAGGTAATTCATAAGTCTATATAAAATTAAAATATATTTTATGTAAATTCATCCGGCAACTACTAAACGCAAAAGACGTTTTTAGTGGCGCCATCTAATATTAAAATAAAAAAGTAAAAATTATTTAATTGATTTTATGCTATTAAACGAAGTAAAAAGAAAGGAAATAACTGATTATAACAAAAACTAAATTAATAACTTTTTTTAAAATATGATTATAACAGTTTACTGCATTTTCATTAACTTCAATTGTTTAAGTACTCGAACATTGCCCGATTGGATTCGATTTCCACTAATCAATATACCATTTTAAGATTGTAAAATTCGCGATACAACAGAAATATTATTTTAAAAATCAATTTATCGATTATTAAAATAAATAAGTTAATAACCGATTGAATAAAATAATAAAAGGAACCACGTGATTTGCGCGCGCATTTCGGCTAGTGTTAATTCCCGCCAAAGGATGATAATAAATCGAGTGAATGGTGTTCGTTTTCCCGAATTTTTATTGTCGTTTATTAACTAATATATAACTCAAGGTGAGTATTTCATCTTGATAAATTTATAAACCGCTTAATAATATATACAATGAGGATCGATTACGTTTTAACATGTTTATACCAATTGTGGCACTTCCTTTTGATCTTCCCTTTAACAAATAATGTCTAATATAGGAAAAGTTTTAATGTTTATATACCGAGTTACTAAATAATTAGCTCTTTAATGGCCATCTGTATTTGTTGAAAGTACGATTTATATAGGAATTTACCTTTTCCTGTTTCAATGTTAAGCAATTCATTTTTATCAAAGAGAAAACAAAATCAAAATAACCATAAATAGTTCAGTTATGTTTGAATTTTATTAATTTATAATTAAAAAATAATAATAATAGTTTTTTAATTATTATGCAAAATTTTTCAATATTGAATAAAGAAAAAATTGATGGATTATACATAATAATAATAATAATTTAATTATTTTTATGTTTTACTTATGATCTTTCTCTTTATACACAATTTAACTTATCTAATAATACATTCAAACCTTGATTTCCTGCCATCATTTGTTTACCTCTGAAATTAGCACTAAAAGTGCATTCGGATGTGTCCGGTAATTTAGTCGAGCGGTTGGTCGTCTCTTGCTACTGAACAGTTATTACACTAAAAGTATCCTGATTAGTATGGTTGGGGATGTTGTGAGCTTTGAGACGGATAGACGTAGATGTATTTGAATGGCACTGAATACAGTGATAGATATCCTTGTTAATTATTCATATATATTTAATTTTTGGATTCTCCTTTGGTATTTGTGCATCTATTACTATAGGAAATATAGAACTGATGAACTAGACAAAAAGGATGTGTTTAATTGGTTAGTGAAGGGTAGAAGGGTTTGTTTTTCCTGATTGAGTAGAAGGGGCTGCTACTCACTCAAGAAAAGCAAAATTGGATAGATTTACTAAACTATTGAACTAAATTTCATTCAACTAAACCGAAATTTCAAAATTACACATTACATAAGTTACTAAATTACATGTAAAATTCTGTTCCAAAGTTACTTGCCACGCAACTAAATTGAAGTACATAGGTTGTCTAAAAAAAAGCTGAACTTTTGCTCTAGGAAGAAAAAATGAAATATTTATAAAAATATGTTTATTTATTTGAAATAAGATCCCTCCAATACAACATTCAGAGTGAGTAATGAGCGTTTTAAAGGACTTTTTCAGCTCCTGTTTTGGTGCCTGGTTATGGGTAGACGGATTGGAAGAATAGGGTGGATGGTCTAGGGTTACAATACATTTTCAAGCAAAACGAACAGCGGTGCTCTTGTGCGAGGGTGTATTGTTGTTGCACAGCAGTGTCCTGCTTTCTTGAACATGATACTCTGGCTGTACATGTAAAATTCAATTCCAAAGATGTTCCAAAATATGTAAATAATATTTTCCAGTAACATTCTGGTCATTTGGGACAAATTCTTTGTGCACTTTCTTTGTACCTTTGGAATCATAAAAACAGACAAACATGATCTTGATTCACGATTNGATGTTCCAAAATATGTAAATAATATTTTCCAGTAACATTCTGGTCATTTGGGACAAATTCTTTGTGCACTTTCTTTGTACCTTTGGAATCATAAAAACACAAGCATGGTCTTGATTCACGATTTTTGGAAACAAAATTTTCAGTGTGGGCTTGTCTGATGACTTCCACATGGAGCTTTGATGTTTTGTCAATGTGTCAGATTGGTAGCGCCATCTCTCATCACCTTTGACTATGTTTTTGAGAAAATTTGGATTGCACAGAGCTGTTTTGACGATGTCCTGAGCATGATGAATTTGCATCTGTTTTTGTTCCTCAACGAGTGAGTGAGTGTGGAATGAAGTGGGAACAAACCTTATGTTTGTTCAAATGATTACATAAAATTATGTAGACAGAGTCCTTTGACACTCCCAACTCTTCTGACAACATTCTACAGGTCACATTCGGATCCTTTCCTAATATTTGTCACACTTTATCGATATTACAGTCCATAGTTGACATCTTTGTACAACCACTATTCAGATTGTTTTCAATTGATTCCTGGCCATCTTTGAATTGACTAAACCAATCATAAACTTGTGTTTGGTACAGGCAATCACCCCCCATTTACGTGTTTCAGTAACTTAAATGTTTTGGTAAAAGTTTTCTTTAGTTTTATGCATAACTTAATGTTGCTACATTTCTCCATTGCAATTTTCCAACGAGGTTTATGAAATAACCCTTACATTTCATGTCATACATTTGAATCGGTTCATAACAATGAACCGATTCAAATGTAATTGTACACGATTGATGATAGAATGTTCAAAATTTTGAATTTGACTGTTAATACTAGTTCTGCCATCTAGTTATATTTTTAGAGCAAAAGTTTGTTTTCTTTTTAGACAACCTGTGTACTTCAGACAATAAAAGCTATATAATATATTGAGTTATACACACAAGTTTAAAGTTTAAGAGTTCATCACACAATTTGCTGATAACACTGATTTATTATGCAGAATTGTATGTTTAATAGTTTATGTATACTAAAGGTGTTCTCTGTTTAATATTTATGGGGACAATTCATTCATAGCTATTGGTATTTTGAGGGTGGTGCAATATTGTGCAAGTGATGACCAGTCTAAATGTACTATACCTTGACTTGTGATGTTATATAGGAGGGCACTGTATCAAAGGTTGGTTATATATAATGGATTACCTTAGAGAATATATAAAAGTAATTGTAAATAAAACAGGTCTGTTATGGAGATAAATGAATCAATTAAGAACATAAATCTTTTGATATGTCATACATATATACTGGTAAAAAATTTAAAATAAAGCCTATTCTTTTAACATAAGCAAAAAAGTACAAAATTCAAAAGTAAAGATATAATTCATTTTCAAGTTTATCATTTTTTCATGTAATTAACATCTTTATATATTTGTATCAAGTTTTATCTCATCAATAAAATTAGAATCAATAAAACATCAAAATTATACATAAATTGAGAAGATCCAAACTGGAAATGTTCAACATTAATCAATAAGACAAATATTTTGTTTTTCTTTTGTCTTTCTATTAAATGTATTTGCTGGAAGAGAGAGGTTTGCTTATTGATTAAAATTTATTGATCAAATTATGTAATTTATCCTAGATATCTATTATAAATTTGTTATAAATATTAATGTGTGATTATTCATACAGAGTTCCCCTATTCACATGGAAAGTCAGGGATTTTCATTAGTACTTGGAAAAAGTAATGGAAAGTCATGAAATTTGTCAAAAAGTCAATTTGCCTCCTTGGCTGCTTTGTTGATTGTTTTTGCTGACAATATGGTTGACCAAGTGTACTGCATAAAAGTAAGTGTGGCATATGTGGTGAGGACAGAAAGAAATACCGTTGCCCTCGCCACATACGCCGCCAACCCGGACATTGTGGTGACCTTCCACCAGGTGAAGCTCATCCACACTACATCACATGCGGAACACCTTAAGTGGCTAGAGGCCATTCACATTTATAAATCGACCCTCAATGACAACTGCATCAATTTTTAAAGATGAGTTGATTCTGTTACTGGTCTGGCAGGCATTGATGGACTCCAAACTTTAACGGCCGATTGCAGAGACAGAGTTTACATTAAACGACGTTTACATTGGCTCTTACTTACTTCGCTATTACTCCCCTGTTTTAGGAGTCGTTCGGCCAATCGGATTATTTCTTCGTGACGTCAGAAATGGTCGTCAGCTATATTCCGAAAGCTTAAGGCCGTCAAAATCATTGTTCGGCAATTAATGACAATCCTTTTCTATTTCGTTATTTAATTTCGTTGCCAATACGATTTAAAATATGAACAAATCCATATTTAGAAAATTTATACCGAATTCGAAATTCGTCTTCGGAATAGAATTTTAAGGAATTATTTCGACATCTTATTACTGTCGAAATGAATAATTTTAAATATTTTATTATTAATATTACATTTTTATATCTATAAACAGATTTCTGTAATTATTAAAATTGTCTCGTTTGTTTAACAGTACAACGACCCCGAAATGCATTAACGTTTTATAACCGACACGATACTCAAATTGTAAATAAATGCATCTGATTTAATTGTAGTTTTAAGTCTTCACCCATTTGAATATCGAAATTGGAACATTTAAAACAAATTTAAAGTATTTCATTTTGTTGTTTTTGTTCCGAGCAGTTAATTAATTAATGAGTAATTTTGTCGATTCGTACCGTTTACAACATTTATCAAAGAAACGATGTCTGTTTTTATCTAAACTTTTCCACAAACAAAGCTACCACTCGAATTGAAAAGCCCTCTAAACCTGCTGTCGAGTGAGTCTAGAAAATAGGTCAAATAACTTGTTTCTAATCGCTGTCTNACTAAACCGAAATTTCAAAATTACACATTACATAAGTTACTAAATTACATGTAAAATTCTGTTCCAAAGTTACTTGCCACGCAACTAAATTGAAGTACATAGGTTGTCTAAAAAAAAGCTGAACTTTTGCTCTAGGAAGAAAAAATGAAATATTTATAAAAATATGTTTATTTATTTGAAATAAGATCCCTCTGCAGCGATACAACATTCAGAATGAGTAATGAGCATTTTAAAGGACTTTTTCAGCTCCTGTTTTGGTGCCTGGTTGCGGGTAGACAGATCGGAAGAATAGGGTGGATGGTCTAGGGTTACAATACATTTTCAAGCAAAAGATTGACGAACAGCAGTGCTCTTGTGCGAGGGTATGTTGTTGTTGCACAGCACTGTCCTGCTTTCTTGAACATGATACTATGGCTGTACATGTAAAATTCAATTCCAAAGATGTTCCAAAATATGTAAATAATATTTTCCAGTAACATTCTGGTCATTTGGGACAAATTCTTTGTGCACTTTCTTTGTACCTTTGGAATCATAAAAACACAAGCATGGTCTTGATTCACGATTTTTGGAAACAAAGTTTTCAGTGTGGGCTTGTCTGATGACTTCCACATGGAGCTTTGATGTT